TTTTTGTTTGTTTTCTTTTTTGTTCTGGCATTTTAGCTCTATAAATAGCAAATAGCATTTTCATTCTTTTTTTCCATAAAGGAAAAGGCCTTTCAAGTGAACTCCTCCTTTCACTGGCTGCTGGGTCACAGCAGCCTTTTCCCTGCCCTGTCCAGCCCCTCCCTATGGGCAAGCACCCCTCACTCCAGACCCACAGGGGGAGCAGAGTGCAGGGACAGCACAGAGCCAGAGGGATGCAGGGAACAGTGGGGGAGTACAGGGGTGGCACGGGAACGGGAGGCACAAAGCCAGAGGGATGCAGGGCAGGACTGGAGCCGGCGGGGCGGAGCCTGGCTGTGCTGCGCGCCGCAGCCAGCTCCCAGGGACACACGGTCAAAGCCGAGCTGCCACGGCCCTTTGAGATCAGTGAGGCCAGGTCACGCCAGCGTCCTGGCATCCTGTCCCACCTCCTCGCGCCGGAGCTGCATGCAGGCAGCTCTGTGGGAAGAATCGCCACGCTTCCCCCTTCCCAGCGGCGCTGTGCTCCTCTGCCAGCCGGCAGATCAGACGGGGCAGATCGGATGGGGCTGCGCCACCCGTAGTGTGGGCTTCGGCCAGCCCATCACAACGGCCCACTGGGCCAGTCCGCCCCTGCACTCGCCAACTGGAAAAATCTACTCGCCACGGGCGAGCGCGTTTGTCGAGCCCTGTTAATAAGCATACTCTCTATGCCAATATCTAAATCGTGGATGAAGATATTGAACAGTTTAATAACTACTCTCTGAGAACGGTTACCCAGCTAGTTATGCACCCACCTTATAGTAGCTCCATCTAAGTTGTATTTCCCTAGTTTATTGATAAGAAGATCATGCGAAACCATATAAAATACCTTGCTAAAGCCTAGGTATACCACGTCTACCGCTTCTCCCTTATCCATAAAGCTCGTTATCCTATCAAAGAAAGCTATCAGATTGGTTTGACATGATTTGTTCTTTACAAATCCATGCTGGCTGTTTCCTATCACCTTCCAGGTTGTTGCAGATGAATTCCTTAATTACTTTCCATTATCTTTCCTGGCACAGAAATTAAACTGACTGGTCTGTAGTTTCCTGGGGTGTTCTTATTTCCCTTTTTATAGATGGGCACTAGATTTGCCCTTTGCCAGTCTTCTGAAATCTCTTCTGTCTTCCTTGATTTTCCAAAGATGATAGCTAAAAGCTCAAATACCTCCTCTATCAGCTCCTTGAGTATTCTAGGATGCATTTCATCATTCCCTGGTGCCTTGCAGACATCTAACTTTTCTAAATGATTTTTAACTTTTTATTTTAGGTTGTATCAACAGGTGTGTTGTAAGCAAAACTCGTGAAGTCATTCTGCCACTCTACTCTGCACTAGTTAGGCCGCAGCTGGAGTACTGTGTCCAGTTCTGGGCGCCACATTCCAAGAAAGATGTGGAGAAATTGGAAAGGGTACAGAGAAGAGCGACAAGAATGGTTAAAGGTTTACAGAACATGACCTATGAAGCCAGGCTTCATGAACTGGGCTTGTTTAGTTTGGAAAAAAGAAGATTAAGGGGGGACATGATAGCGGTTTTCAAATATCTAAAAGGGTGTCACAAGGAGGAAGGAGAAAATTTGTTCCTCTTGGTTTCTGAGGACAGGACAAGGAGTAATGGGCTTCAAGTGCAGCAGGGGAGGTTTAGATTGGACATTAGGAAAAAATTCCTAACTGTCAGGGTGGTCAAATATTGGAATAAATTGCCAAGGGAGGTGGTGGAATCTCCCTCTCTGGAGATATTTCAGAACAGGTTAGATAGACATCTGTCAGGGATGGTGCAGACGGAGCTTGGTCCTGCCTTAAGGGTGGGGGGCTGGACTCGATGACCTCTCGAGGTCCCTTCCAGTCCTATTATTCTATGATTCTATGATTTTAACTTCTAAATCTACCCCTTTCCTGCTAGTATTCATTATGTTAGGCATTCCTTCATCATCAGACTTCTTGGTGAAGACTGAAACAAAGAAGTCATTAAGCACCTCTGCTTGGCACCAATGAAGGTGGCAATGATTCTTTGTCTGTTTAGTATCTGGTGTTAGTACTTTTCCTCTCTAATTGTCTACCAATGGTTCTTATCTGCCGTTTTTGACTATCCAGTCTTCAGCTGCTTATAGACCATTTGTTTTTCATGTTACATTCCAGCTCAGCTTTCTCTCTGATATTTTTATACCCACTGCCTCTTCTTGTTTCTCCTCCCCTTCCCATTTTTTTCTTCCTTCCCTCCCTGCCCCTCTTCTGCCCTCCCCCTCCGGCCGCCTCCTTCCCATATTTATTTTAGTTCTCGATACCCAACATTCTGGTCTTCTGAAGAAGTGGACTGTGCCCATCAAAGCTCATGATACCATCTACATGTTTTGTTAGTCTTTAAAGTGCTACCAGACCATTTGTTGTTTTTTAAGCTTCAGGGGGTAGCTGAGTCAGTCTGTACAGGATAAACAAACAACAAATGGTCTGGTAGCATTTTATAGAATAACAAAACATGTAGATGGTATCATGAGCACAGCCCACTTCTTCAGATGACTGGAATTTATCTTTTACAAACTAACTCAACTACCCGCTGCTGCCATTTCCAAGTTTCCTGTTACTTTTTCTCCCTCCTCACTGAGCAATGGGCCTACCCTGTCCTTAGTCTTCCTCTTGCTTCCAATATTTATAGAAAGTCTTCTTGTTTCCCTTTATGTCTGTAGCCAGTTTGAGTATGAACTTCCATTCATAACTTCCAATACACAACGTAGAAAGGTCTCTCTCAAAGATCTTTCTATATGGCAGTTGTGCGATTTCTTCTGGAATAATGTGTCCAGTTCTGTAGTCCAGAAGGATGTTGATAAATTGTAGTGGATTCAGAGGGTAATTAGAATGATTAAAGGATTGGAAAACTTGCCTTATAATGAAATATTCAGGGAGCTCAATTTGTTTACTTTATTGAATAGAAGGTGAAGGGGTGACTTGATCATAGACTAGAAGTACCTACATGGGAAACAGACATTTGATAATAGAAGGCTCTTCAGTGTAGCAGACAAAGGTACAACAAGAGCCAATGGCAGTAAATCGAAGAGACACTAATTCAGACTAGAAATAAAACCAAATTTTTTAACAGTGAAGGTAATTAGCCACCGGAATAATTTTCTAGGTGGTGATTTTTCTCTCACTGCAAATTTTTAACTCAAGGTTGGATTCCCACCCCCATCCCCAATAGTTCCAATGGGAATTGATTCAGGAAAATTCTGTGGCCAGGACCAGATGACCACAATGGTCCCTTCTGGCTTTATGATCTATCAGTCTAAGATGGTGTGATGGTGCAGTCAGGGTTCCCCCCAAATCCTGCACCCCATCTGCAGCAAGAACAGACTCCACCAGCCTGTAGAATAGAGGGTTTAGTGCTTCTCCAGGATACAGCACAGATGTTACTACAGAAGTCTGGGCCAGGATGCCTCAGATCCCTTGGGTTAGGGTGATGTATCACCCCCCTAGACCTCCAGCCCCCAGTTTAGGCTCACTCCCTCCTGTTTCCCCACCAGCAACTGACCCTTCCCCCAAAGCCTCCTGTTGGTCTCCGTCTCTCTCCCTTGGAATCCCCTGTTATCTCCTCAGGCTGATCCCAGGTGTCTGGGTTAATACACATTTGGGTGAGTCAGTGGGAATCACACATCGCAGCACAGGGGGACCCAGGGTCACAGAGCAGTCAGCCCCCACCCCCACTGCGCCACAGATCTGCAGGGGACCAGTGTATAAAAGATGTCAAACTGAAAGAATACAGAGCCTGATCACCCATTCTGGGAAAGGACAAGCTCCCTGAGGAGCAGAGATACTGCTCTAAATTGAAAAAAATTAGGAGAATGTGAGTATTGTGAAGTTCCTGGATTTAACAGCAATCAAATTTTTAAACCAGCAACACTTGGAAACTTGGTATGTTCTAAGGACTAGAAGGGTAGGCCTGAATCTTTCAGACAGGAAGGCTGCAGAGACAGGGTTCACAGTTGTGAGACAAGATACCTGCACCTTATGGGAGCCAAAGGAGCATTAACATGTTGGAGTGGTTGGTCCCATGTATTGATGGAGGATAAACCAAGGGCTTGGAAGCTGGGAATAAACAGTAGAAAAGGGAACAGTAGAACTGGGAATAAACAGTAGAAAAGGGCTGACGTTGCGGGAGGGTTTTGAGTGTCTATCAAGGGGCACTCGAGTGAGAGCGGCAGTGGAAGAGAGGCTAGTATCAAGTGATTGATATAAAGTTGCTTGTCACAAAGGCGATAGTTTTGTCTTTTGGGACCAGATGGTTGCTTGGAGGGGGGACATGTGGGTATTGGGAGGATGATCAGAAATGAGGTGATGTGAGGGTTCTGCTCCAAGACAAGGTGGGAGTGATTCAAGTCAGGACACTTATTATGGGGTCAGCATGCTATCTTAGAAGTAAGAGGATGCCAGCACAGAGAAAGAGCTAAGGGCTCGTAAAAGGAAGTTGGAAAGTTTAAGTAATAGGAGGAAGTCAGACAAATCAAGTGACCATAGAGGGTCACACAAAGACAGCTAGACTAATTCTCAGGGGCACATCAGTTAATTCTCTGAACAATCCAGACCCTTTTATCTCTGTAGTAGACATTGATTAAGCCAGTTTATTTGCAAGAGAATATGGTTGAAAATGAGGAACTGAATGAACTGCTGGGCCACTATAATGTAAGAGGGCACAAGTGCCCAACTGTGTCCTTTGTAGCCCAACCCTGCAGCCCTCCCTGTTTGCAGCAGTGTCAGCAGGGCAAACCCCTCGCACAAGGCGGACACAGGCCGAGCTCTGCTCCACACTCCCAGCCCCAGCATTGGCCTCACTCTCTAGACTTTCACCCAGCAGGCTACTTACTTCTTAATTATAGATCTTTAAAACAAAAAGTGAACGTACGTGTTAAAATCCATCTGAATAAACAAAGGTGCTGAGCAGACTGTGAAGTGAATAGGAAATGAAAGTGACTCACCCTCTGAGGGAGAATTTTGTCAGCCATCTTCCTCCTCTTGGCACTGTACATTTTTTAAAGAAAAAAACACGTTACCATGGTGACAGATCTAGGAGTAACGAGGCCACCTGCTAAATTATCCTGACATCTCCACATGCTGGTGCACAGCTGTGCATGTATTGGCAAAAGGGTCTCACCCAGACCCAATACCTAGGACCCTCTCTCTCGGTCTCTTTGGGAGCTAAGAAAAAATTCAGGGCTTTCTGTCACAGATCTTGGAAAAAAAGTCTTAAAGTTTTGTGATAGTATGGGGCAGCAATGTATGATTGTGCATGCCTGTGTGTGTCAGCTCTCCATCTCACGCTCTATGAACACATTATAAATATGGGAGTCAGTGAGAGAGCATTTATGTAGGAACGTGCGTGCAGCCATATGTATACACACTCAAGTGTATATGTACATATATATGCATACTTGATGGTGTGCACAGCTACTGAATGACTTTTGAAACAGATATTTGTGTCCATGCATGTCTCTGTTTGTGTGTGTGGTGGTGGTGGTGGTGGGTGTTTGTGTGATTACACAGATACAGGTAGTGTATGTACATATTATTTACACAAGAACATTTGAATATCTGTATCTCTAGGTCAGTGTGTACCTGTATGGTATAAATATAAATATGATGCATCCAAGTTCCAAACACAGGCATGTCTTTGGATACGTACACACTCACACGCCTCTTTCTAGGAGGCATGTATGTATGTGCGCATGAGGGACGGTGATGAAATAGGAAACAAGCAAGGACAATTTCCCTGGATTTGACTTTAAACCATACACGCTGTTGGTGCCCATCAAGCTGTTTCCTTACAGCCTTAGCAGTACAGAAAGAGGAGAAACTTGTCTTCCCTTCTGCTCAAGGAAGTGTTGCTTCCATCCCTGGAAACCTCTCCCCCACCTGCTCATGCTCTGGGGTTCTCCCGCCCTCCTTCCCCTTTCCCATTGCTCTGGAGAGGCCCCCTTAATTTCGATCTCCCCAGGAACAATGTTTTCACCAGTTTCCAGGGGTGGAACACGCCCTTCCCATGCTCGCTACTGATGTGCCGCCTTCTTCCTGGGGGGGCCTGGGACACCAGGCTCTCTGCTCTTCTTGGGGCCAGGCTAAGACACTTTTGGGGTGGGGGAATGAAACTGACCTTCCCTCTTACCCTCCAGCCCAGCTCTGGATTTGGCCCAGAGTATCTACAAACTCATCTGCTGGTCATACTGGAGCGGAAACATTCCATGGCAGTTGATGTGCGAGATGGGGGGAGAGGGGGGTTAGTGACTCTCACCAGCTAGAGGAGGGAAAAAAGGCCACCCCTGAAATGACAAGGGGGGGATGCCACAATAATTGCAGGCGAAAAACAGTGACAACTGGGTGAGGCAGAGCCGAAAGCAAATGGGATTGTGCACTTGGAGCACCCAGTAAAACTGAAGAGGAATTACACCCCATCCATACCCCCAAGAGTCTGACCGAGACCTGGGAATTAATCTCCTCTCTTCCTACACCTAGCCTCTCATGGCAAGGAATTTGCCCTATCCCCTGAGCCTGACAGAGATGGTACTGGAGGAAATGCAGGGAAAGCAGAGGAACCTCTGAGAAAAGGACAGGAGTAGAGAAGAAAACCAGGATAAAGAATACAGTAAGCCCCATAAGAGCAGACATAAAGGAGGAAACACAGGAAGCTTTTTGGTGTCTGCTACAGGGCTTCAGCTACAACCGGCTTTCACTCTGGACAAAAATGTGAGGATCAGAAGGTATTTCCTCCTGCAATTGGGGCATGAAACAGACTAGCTTCCATGTGATGATCCTTGGGAACTACGCTCATTCTTAAGCCTCTAACTATTCCTTCTAGGGCCTGCTAGGGTGCACCCAAGATGTGTGGACAGTGCCAGTACATATTCCTAAAGTTTGTAGATGCACCAGTGCAAACACTTTGGACTCATGGGAGCTCCCAATGCACCAGACCTACAGAAGCAGATATTACATGAAACCAGATGTAATTACACCACTAATGCACTGCCTGAGACTGCAAGTACCCATATTGTTTGCCCTACAAACTCTGCATGTGAATGTGACTCTCAAGCATTTATCAGCCATAAATCCAGTCTGGAGGAGTTGGTTCAGACTTTGCAAATTCAGAATCTGATGAGTTCTAATAATTTCTGCTTCTTAAATAGCAATTATAATTATTACTTAGTTGCCAAGAGTGCACTGGGTATTGTACAAGATTAAACAATGCAAATTCTACCAGAAAAATTACATATACGTCAGAAATTCCCCCTCCAGTTCTAGTTAGTTACTTTCTGTGAATGTCATTAGTGTATTTCACTAGTGAATGTTTGTAGATGGTGAAAATCTCATGAATACTTGTGCAAATGCATTTTTCCACTAGAGCTGATGGTATAAAGCAAGCTGAAATCTCTGATTTGTCTGCTCGTGTTTATAAAATATTCAGTTAACCAATCAGGGAGCAGAGGTATTATTATGCAAAATAGATGATCAATCATAACCCATGAAAAGAAAGTTAAAGACCAAGTCAAAATAAGTAGCTAGCAAACACTCTTGACTAAATTGAAATATGCAATAAACATTCTAATACCTCCAAACAACAAGAAAATTAATAGAAATCAAGGTCTGGTTCAGCGGCAGTTCCCAAATGAAAAAGTATTCAATGAATTTTGCATTGTCACAGTCCCAGCTCCAAGCAGCAGACAACCAGTAAATCTTATGATTTATGTTGCCTACATGTTTAAGATTGTCACACATTCACAAAGATGGATGGTTCTACCTCTCCCAATTACCCTCCCATTCTTCTCTTCCCATGCACTCACCTCCGGCTTCGGGTCTGAGTTGCTTGCTGCTGCGGCTGTACCTGCTGTTGCGGCACCTGCTGTTGCTGGACCTGCTGAGGCGCTGCACGCTTTCGTGATGGCTCCATCGCTGTTTGGGGCATTCCAGGGCGGACTGAGGGGCTTCCAACATATGGTGAGCCAGGGGGACCCATTGGAGCCCCCTGATGGGGCATTCGAGCACCTGATGGCATCCCAGGGCGCTAAGGAGGAAGCAAAACAGAAATATATGTCACTTTGATCACTGTTAATGCAGCAGCAAAGGGGTTAGAATGAAAGTAGCAACTAGCTCCAATATCCAAGCTTTGACCATTCTGATAGCAACCAGCGCAACAGGCAAAGTAACAGAGTAAGAATCTGATAAGAGAATAGACTGGGGGAGAATAAGGAAAAAGGCCGGGGTTGAGTGGGTGCATTAGTGATGGTGACAGATCCAAGCCAGATTGCTACAGCACTCTCTTTTGGGCTGACTTGAAGGTCATGTAGAAGCTGTTTCTGGTCCAAAATGTTGTGATCTACATGTTAATCAAGACTGATAATGACACCCTATCACATCCGTAATCCTCACTTTATACTGATTGGGCTGCTGTGATCACCAGGGGCATTTTAGCTGTAAGTCATAGGTAAAACATTAAACCGCTGGGGGCAGTGAGTTCTCCATCAAAGGCTTTCCACTTCTGGATACACTATCATCAGGGAACAGAACAAGTCTATAAAGAGAGAAGCTACAGCTACAGGAAAGAGTCATCTTTTTGATCAGCATCCCCTTATAACAGGGGGACATGAGAGTTTGATTACATTTCCTTCTCAATACTAAAGTCCCTTGACATCTTCATCGACATCAATGTCTTTGGATCAGACCATGAGATCAGTGCCATAAAAAAGACAGAATAAAGTTAGTCCTAACCCTAAAGAGCTTCCAGTGAACCAATCACTAAGGCGAATCTCATTTTAAAAACTCAAGCCCAACTCTTGGGCACATCAAGTTATTACCCTTACTTATTATGATGTCAACGACACTGTCACTCTTTACAGAGCACGGTGAATGAACTAATAAGTTCTTTGATGGCTGCTTAGTGCAATGTGCAAGTGATATATCGATCACATAACAAAGCACCAACTCCAGCTGCAAGTAGCAAGCAAGAGTTTAAAATAACAGTCCAAGTGAACATCAGCAAAGCCAGCAACTTAGTCACCACCTCCAGACTAATGAATTATTATACCATATCACTCCAACCCCAAACCTTACCAGGCTCCTTGCTCCTCATAAGCCTCAGAAAACAGCTATTCCTTAGATGCCAAAAGGCTGGCTGCATTAGAGACACAGCAGAAAGAGTGAAGATAGAGACAGCATGGATTAGGGATGTTAAAATTAGTTTATTTTGGTAAACATGTACCTGCTGAAATTTTCAACGGGTACATGTTTATACATGGGGGCGAAGAGCTGGTACACATGGGGAGCTAGCTCCTCTCGCCCGTGCTACAGCAGCATGGGAGGAGGCAGCTCCCCTGTGGTAGTGGGGAGCCTGCATAACAGCCGGCTCCCCCTGAGTACTGGCTCCCACCTGCATTCCCCGCTCCACCATGCTGCTACCTCTGATACAGAGGCAGCAGTGTGGAGGGTGGGCAGCTGCATGTAACCATGAAGATTCACCAATGAGTCCATGCCCATTGATTAACTGTTTATACTATGTGACAAAGGTTGGTGGGTCAGGTGGGTTTTTTTCCCCCTTTTTTCTTTCCACCGTGCTGAACACCAATCCCACTCCTGACACCAGTTTTGACAAAGCTCCTACAAAAACTTGATAGGTCCTGTGCTTCCTGGCACAGGGACTCACAGCAGCCCCCAGTTTTAGGCACCGCACCACACCCCGGGCTTTAATTTGCTGAGCTCTTCTCATGATTGGCTAGCATATGGTAAAACAGAGAATAAACTCCACAGTCCTGAAAATGGGGAGGTGGGTGTTGGGGGGAACCCTCTACTCCAGATTCCAGCCCGGGCTCTGTGACAGTAACTGCTCATGTGAATCCCTGACATTTGCTAGACTACAACTCCAAGACCCCGGGCTACTTCCCCAGCACCTTCCTTCTCTCCAGTTCATCCTCCTAGTGGTGATTTCCCTCTCCTCCTATTCCCAGAGGTGCTCTCCTCCTTTCTCCCAGCTGCACGCACCCTACAACTGCAGCAAGTCTGAAGTGGTTTTAATTACCTCCTAGGTGTCCTAATTGGCCTGACTCTGCAGGCCTGGTCAGTTAGCCCCAGGTGTTCCACTGCCCCTGCTGGTTCTAAACCAGCCTCTCCCTGCTACTCTTGGAGCAGGGACTCCTCAGTCAGAGGCTTATATGTTGCTCCTCCAGTACTTGGTTGTAGCCTTCTGTTCTGACCCTGTCACAACTACCACATTCCTAGCGTGGATATTAACAGAAAATTAGAGGAGGGCTTCAGGGCAGAGGCAGAGACAACCCTTCCTTGCATTGTTAATAGGAGGAGGAGAGACTAGTAAGTGCAGATAATGGAGATGGATTGTGGGAGCTGAAACTGGGTAAGGGAAGGGCAATAACTAATAAAAGAGAAGCCTTTGTATAGAGCTGAGAACTTTTTCACCTGCTGGCAGAGCCACAAATATGGTTACGACAACTCCTTGGAAAATGTGGCTCTCTCCACCACCACACTCTCAAAAGGAAATGGAACGAAAATACTTCACACTAAATCTTGTATTTAGAATTTCCTGTTGCCTGTCAATCCACAAACTATGGCTGCCTTCCAGAAAGAAGAAGCTGGACTCTGAACCCTGCTGTTGGTTGTCAATCACCCATGATACTTGATTACCATTTAGAAGAGATGGGACTTGAGCTCCGCTACCCCGTGTCTTGTCTTGCTCTCTCTTGGAAACTGCCTGGCCAAAAGAGACAAGACTGTAGACCCAGCTATCTGCATTTTCAAAGGACAAATTATGGCTAGAACTGCAAAGTTGAGTGGACCAGCCAAGTTACTGACCTATGTGCTATTTCTCTAACTTCCTGTCATTGCCATTTTTTTTCCTTGATGGGCATTAAAACAGCAGAGGTACAAATAGTGTTTTGTCTTCCATTTAAATTCTGATGATCCCTAATCTTGCTCCTCCCTGCTTTGCCTAATTACTTTCCTTCTTCCACCCCCACTTCTGTACCTTTTTCTATGAGGTGCTTAGATGTGCAACAAACTCTTTATTCCCAGTACAAGGGACTGCACCCTTCTCCTCCACTGCAATACCCTCAAAAGCCCCACATACCATATGGGTGAAATGCCTTTTCATTATCGACAAGGCCCTACTGAGTTCACTGCTATGAAAAGCACGTCACAGACTGTGAAATCTGGTCTATTATGTGCTTTTACCCAATACTATATAAATTTCACGAAGACATCATTTCTCAAATTGGGGCTCCTGACCTGAAAAGGGAGTCGGAGAGGCGTTTCAAGGGGCATTATTTTAGGGGAGTCATGGTTCTACCACCCTTATTTCTGCATTGCTTTCAGAACTGTGGAGCTGGAGGGTGGCAGGTGTGGGCCAGCACTCAGCTCTGAATGCAGTATTGTACCAGTGGCTTTGCAGAAGTAAGGGTGGCAATAGCATGCCATGTCACACTCACTTCTGTGCTGATGCCTTCAGGGCTGGGCAGCTGGAGTGGAGGCTGCTGAGGGCCTACCTTGCAGATAGCAGCAGAGGAGTCAAGGGGGCAATACCATACCATGCCACCCTTACTGCTGGGCTCCCAGTCAGCAGCCACTATTACTCAGCTGCCCAGCTCTGAAGACAGCGCTGATACCAGTAACAGTAGCAGTACCACAACCCACCTGCCTTACAACACTTCTACAATTCCTTTTTGGGTCACGACTCTTAGAATTATAACACCATGAAACTGCACATTTAAATAGCTAAAATAGTGACATTTGATATTTTTTGAAATCCTATGACCATGAAATTGACCAAAACAGACCATGAATTGGGTAGGGCCCAAATTACCAAAGGACAGCAACGCTATTCTAACCACCTTCAGGGTACCCCAGTGCATCTGGTCTTCTCTGTGCTGCTGGTGGGGAGCACTTTGTCAGTGCCATAAGCCCCTCCAGACAGGCAATAGCAGCAGCATACTCTGTATTGCCATGAGGTGCTTCTTGCCTTCATCCTTTGCAGACTCCTTTCTTGTATTTTACAGCTTTTCTCGCCCTCCCCTCTCTTCTAATCCCATCCTCTCACCTCCTCAGAATGCCTCCTCCTCCCCTTTTCTCACGCAGTTTCCTCCCGTCACATAGTACAGATGAAAGACAGAACAAGACTGTACATATTCTGGCTTTAACATGATTGTGCTTCTTTTTGCATTCTTACCACAGAAGTGGACACAATACTCCACATGTGGCCTTGCCAGACCCGAATAAAGGGGAATAATCACTTCTCTAGATCTACTGGCAATGCTCCTCCTAATGCAACCTAATATACAATTAGCCTTTTTGGCTACAAGGGCACCCTGCTGACTCATATCCAGCTTCTCCTCCACTGTAATCCCCAGGTTCTTTTCTGCACAACTGCTACTTAGCCAGTCGGTCCCCAACCTATAACAATGCTTGGGATTCTTCTGTCCCATGTGCAGGACTCTGCACTTGTCCTTATTGAACCTCATCAGATTTCTTTTGGCCCAATCCTCTAATCTGTCTAGTATCAGAGGGGTAGCCATGTTAGTCTGAATCTGAAAAAGCGACGAGGAGTCCTATGGCACCTTATAGACTAACAGATTTATTGGAGCATAAGCTTTCGTGGGCAAAGACCCACTTCGTCAGATGCATCTGATGAAGTAGGTCTTTGCCCACGAAAGTTTATGCTCCTACACTTCAGTTAGTCTATAAGGTGCCACAGGCTTAATCTGTCTAGGTCACTCGGGACCCAAACCCTGCCCTCCAGCGTCTCTCCCTCTCCGTCTAGCTTAGTGTCATCTGCAAACTTGCTGAGGGTGCAATCCATCCTCACATCCAGGTCATTAATAAAGATGTTGAATAAATCGGGTCCTAGAACTGATCCTAGAGGCACTCCACTAGAAACCGACCGCCAACCTGACATCGAGCCATTGTTGGGACCTCTTGGGCCCAACAGTCTAGCCAGTTTTTTATCCAACTTACAGTCTATTTATCCAATCCATACTCCCTTAACTTGCTGGCCAATTTAAGGGA